AGAGAGAGAGAGAGAGAGAGAGAGAGAGAGAGAGAGAGAGAGAGAGAAGAGAGAGAGCGCCCGCCAGCGCCTCTGACCCCAGCCTCTCAGCCTGGAAGACAGCTCTGCGAGTGCAGTTGTGACCCTGCGCTTGCAGTCTGGCCCCTTACCCCGTGACACCTCAGCTGCAAAGCCCAAAGGTGGCTGCAGCTGAGATGCTGGCGGTGGGGACCCACTTCCTATTAACTCGGGCAGGTCTGCTCTGTGGGTGCACAGCATCCACCAGCAAGTCCCCAGGCAGGGAGCTGTCCGGGAGCACAGAGGAGGACTTGGGAGCTGCCCAGCTCTGTGAGATTCCTCTGGGCAGAAGATCAAAAACAAATGTCTGATGTCATTCAGAGAGCACATGCCTCATGTTTTATTCTCTTTTCTCCACACGGCCCTGGGTCCTCCGCTGCTATGGACATCTTAAGGTCTGAGGCAGAGACCTGTATGGCAGCATGACTGCAGAGAGAGCAGCCTTCTCAGATCAGAGAGCCTTCGAGCGAAATCCTCTTACTTGAAAGCACTCTTAGATGTTCTCTTCCCTTTTACTCAACAGAGCCAGATGTGCTTGATCCGGCAGAGGAAGATGAATGGAGCAGAATCACTGCCTGGAAAGCTCTTGGAAGAGAGGGACATAACCCTCCATCCTGAAGAAGGCCAGGTCTAACCCACTGAGCCTCGCCTCCCTCCCTGCCCTCACAGAGGCCCTAGGCTTGGCGAGGGCCTGGCGTGCTCAGAACTTCCAGACCAACCTCTTTTTTGCCCTCCTGGTAATTCTCCAAGTTCCCCATCTGAAGAATGGTCTGTGCTTCTTTCTGACCTGACTCAGAGGCTAAATGACAGAACCATCTTATCATCACTCCGACAATGTCAGATTCATCGGGATGTTTCTGAACATACGACAGACTCCTATCTTCCTTCCTGGCTCTTTCCTTCCAGTTCCAGGGGTATCTCTTACTTTGTCCTCTTTTGCAGCTTTAAGGATAACACCAGCTCCTCAAGGGCCAAAGTTAATTGCCACTGATCCAGTGTATTCCTGTTCTTGGGAGGGGCAGACCTGCCCGTCATACAGTAGGGTAACCACTTCCTGTTCTTCAGCCACTCTGAAAGCAGAGCCATGGCCAGGAAGGGGGAGCTGCCTGGCCTTCCCCCAGCTTCACATCCACATCTCCCAGCCTGCTTCCTTCCAGAAGGATCATCCAGTCATGATAACACTCATGTTATGGAAGGAAGTGCTTCCTAAGATTTCCTGGCCTGAGAGTTAGGCTGAGGATGACCCCCTAGCTCTCAGGACTCAGCCCAGGGTGCCCATTCCATGACTGCATTGTGCAGCCTCCCCTGCGAACAGACCACAGTGACCAGGGAGAGGAAGCAGACGGTCACTGGGACATAGCTGTTGGGACACAGGCGCCTTCCTAGTCAAGATGCTGCTGGCCATGTTCTGCATTCTTTTACTTGATGGCGAATGCATCACTGGTAGCAAAGGGGGGTAGAAGGCAACCCTCAGGAATGTGTGTGCAGAGGCTGAGATACTCAGTTTAGAGGATCTTGTCCACAGGGTGGCTAGAAACAGAGAAGAAATGAGTACAGGAAGGGGCAGAGAACTAATCTGAAGTGACTGGAAAAAAACCATTTTTCTGGAAAGTAAAATTAAATATAGATTTGATTAATAAGTAAACGTACTTTTCTATGAGTGATGGGCAGATGTAGATGAGAAAGGGAGAGAAAGAAAGAGAAGAAAGAAGTAGGATTCAGTAATGTGCAAAATACGTTCGGAACGTGACTGTGTGTGTGGGTGTGCGCGTGGATGAACGGCATGACCCAGTTCAGCAGGAAGCTGCAATTCAGACCTGGTGATGGAGGACATATGGTCCTTGTCTTGAACATCGCCTGGGCCTACGGGTGAGCTGGGACAAACGGTCCTCCATGATGTAAGAAGAGGCCGTGTGTGGCCTGAGGCACAGCCCTACAGCACAGCGGGAAGATGAGGAGGGCTTCTCTCACAGTACCACCTCCCAAAAAGTTACATTTCTGACAAACCCGAGCAATCATTTCAAGTAGCTCTGTGCCTCCCTTCTACCCCTCCCATCGGTCACACATGTGCATGTCAGAGAGGGCAATTTTGGTTTAGTTTCCTGCAGCAGCATATAAAAGATTAAGAAAATACAAAATCGGAGCAGGCTTGTGTTGGGAAAAGCTTATCTCTTTCCATTAAATTTTATTTTTTTAACGGCAGCATTTAAAAAGAGCCTGCACATAATCTTTCACAGAGCATGCATTTGAAGCCTCCAAGGAGGGTGCTTGCTGCACCCACATCTGACTCCAAATGTCACATGAGAAAGAGCAGCATAGGTTGTCTGCCTCATGACAGTAATAAAGGAAGGGTCCCCAGAATTGATTTCAGTCTCATCACATCTGTTTTTAAGTAATTTTAGAATTGTGGTCATATATTAAATAAAATGAATTAAATCATAAAGTTGGAAACAATATACCTTTCCTATTAATTTTTAATATGACTATATTAAGCTTATCAAGGACCACAAACAGTTTATGAGCCTAAGGAATCCAGTAAGTAACTTCCCAAGTATTATTTAAGTATAGATATAGAATCAGAGGGAAAAGAAACGTATGCACGATAAGAACTCCTGGATTCAAATCACAACAGGAAAAAATAAAGCCGATTTTCTTACTCCGCCCATCTCAGAATGAAAGAAAAGCAGAGGGTGGGCCATGCGGAGGAGGAAGGTGGTCTGGGGCAGTCAAAGAGGAAATGCAAGCAGCAAGAGGTACAACACATTCAGCAGCTCCCCAGGCACAAAAAGCCCTTTGCAAGAGCAGCGGAAAATCCCAAAGGCTTTGAAGACCCACTTCAGCTCAGCAGCGCCCCTGGGGACCACACTCTACACCCTTGGATAACCCTCCAAGTGTATATTCCACTGGAGAAATCTGTCCTCTTGGGAGGCAGAATTTCCTTAGAGATAACATCTACCCATTCATTCACTCAATAATGTCTGAGCAGCTGTAATGAATAAAACTTGGCCCCTGTCCTGGGAGAAACTCTGGCATAGGGGGACAGAATGTAAA